TAAAACCTCTGCCGTACTCTGGGTCCGGCATCCGGCCGCAGTACGACTCCACACCGGACTAAATGCCCTTCCTGCATTTAGGTTTAAATCACAGCCACCACGAATCTCCACAAAGGGCCAAAAACCCAATGAGCAGATTGGAGTTACCGCCAAGGGCTAACTGCTCCCCGTGGTACCATGTTTTACTCTTTGGTGTGACTTGTAGCTTTCGCTACTGCCAGTTGAGCCTCCAAAAATTCCTAAGAATTCCAAAGAACTCAACTGTATGATGACAAGGTGTCTCGTAAATCCATTCCTAATAAAAATCGTAAACGTAAACACGGTCAGATACCAGGAATAAATACAGTGTACAATAACCATTTTTTTACGATGAATACTATAGCACTATATCTGACATGGACAAGGCAAGCCCAGAATGACAGACAGTGCATGCGGGATTTTAGTCGTCTTTTACGACAGGCATGCCTTACCACGAGTATATTCGGTTTCTCCCCACCCAAGCCGGTCCCCCCTACCCGTAGGGCGACGTCACTGTTGACAGTCATAGCTTTGAAGTTGTAGATAATTTCGTCTATCTTGGAACCAGCGTAAACACCACCAACAATGTCAGCCTAGAAACCGAACGCAGGATAACTCTTGCCAACAGGTGCTACTTTGGACTGAGTAGACAATTGAGAAGCGAAGTCCTCTCTCGACAAACAAAAACCAAACTATATAAGTCACTCATAATTCCCGTCCTGCTATATGGTTTAAACTTAAATCAAAAGAACAGTTGATTAAACGCGTTTAAGTCGAAATGAGTAACAACAATGCTCACAATGAAATGTTCTGAGCTTGTGGGAATCTTTTGTTGCAAAACAAGTCTCTTCTGTGTGAAATTGTTTGTACGATTAATTACCCGCTTAAAGAGGGCATTTAAGTGTTTATTCGTTTACAGTTATGCATTTACCTTTTTGTTTACATATGTACGTATGGTAAGTAGATGTCACTTGCATGAAATCAATAATATTATTACCGGTTTAATGCGAAGCAACGCGGCTGAGCACTTGTGCGCATGTTTAGCCGTTGCATCAGCATCAACATGTTTACAAGTTCAGCTCAGTGAATAACCGCTTGTGTCAGCATATACTAAGTAATAAGCGTGGGCCGGTTCATTCACACCTCTCAGCAGTTTTGTTATTGTTGTTTAAACCAAATCAGGAAGGTAACAACAGTCGCAAGAAGCGTTCCTTTAAATACTTAACATGTTGAGATTTCAGTCGCAATTGTTTTTAATATAAACAACATTTTATGTAGAAACATATGCGAGTATGTATGTTGATGTGCTTCGATGTGCAGTAAGCATTTTATTTATAAAAATGCTAATTATTGTTTACAACTTTCTTGCGATCGGTTTTTGTAGTTCCCCCGAGGTGGGTTCAGATAAGCAAAATCAGACAAAGTTTGGTTAGCCCACTGTTGAGCGGAAAACCAGTAACAATTCAATTGCTTTACAGTTCGGAGAACCTGATTTCATGACCCATATAATAAAGCTTAATTTACACTTAAGTTGTAATGAAATAGATATGTACATATGTATGTATGTATGTACTTATGTATGGATATTAATTAAAACTACCCACAAATTCTGGGTATTTCAGTTCAAAGATGCCGGTTTTATAAACTAATGTTTAGTAGAGTAAACAATATAATTATTACATTAATACAATTAAGTAACCAAGATTTTTTGCTAGCACTGTTACCATTGTCACCGCACAGTTGAAGAGTTAAGGGCCGTCAGTCAAAACCATTTATGCATTTGCTTAAAATAACGGACCGTTTCATAATCTTGCAACTTGCCAGGACCAAAGCCAGGGAAATACCTTAAGATGCAAAGCGTTAGCGAGAGGTTCGGAATCCAATATCACTGACCACCATATTTGGCATAAAGTTTGTTAGAGTCATGAAAGTAATTACATATACATACATATATAAACAAGGTGCGTTCCAAAGTTGAAATCTAGCGCCCCCTGGTGGCGCCATCTATATATCGACTGGTGCGTTAGAATCTGCTATCTTTATAGACTTTGAAATAAAGTCATTTCGTTTAAATGTCAGTATCCTTGTGTTATCAGTGCGAAAATGAGCTTCGAACAAAGAGCCAACATTACATTTTGTTTTGAAATTGGTAAAACTTTTACCGTAACGTTTCAATTGATGAAACAAGTTTATGGCGATGATCGCCTATCCCGTAACAGAGTGCACGAGTGGTTTTAACGTTTGCAAAGTGGTCGTGAGGACATACATAAATGATAACATGTGGGCCAATCAAAATCCGTGATCACCGGAAATTTTATCGAAACTGTACGTGAATTCACCAAAAAGCTGCCGAAATCATCATTGAAATTCATGGAATTGAACATCTCCAAACATTGATTTATCGCATTTTGACCGAACATTTCAGCTTACGAAAGGTGTGTGCACGGTTTGTTCCGCACAGATTAACTGACGACCAAAAATTGTTCAGAATCCAACATTCCAAGGACGATTATTTGACCAAAAATCACACTTTAACTATTAACCACTCTTATATTCACCTGATATGGCACAGTGCGCCTTCCTCCTTTTCGGAAAAATGCATTTGCCCATGAAAGGAAAGCGTTATGCAGACGGAGAGGCCATTCAAAAGACTTGCAGCCGGCATACTGGCGGTCATACCGGCCAACGAGCTAAAACACTCGTTCGACATGCTTTTGGACCGTGCAAAAAGCTGTATTGAAGCAGAAGGAGACTATTTTGAATAAAGTAAATTGATTTTGCCAAAAAACACATTTGTTCTATTTTTTTTTAAGTTCTGTTTGCTTTGGAACGCACCTTGTAAATACTGTGGTTTGCATATTCGGTACCTAGAGGATGTGATTTCATCTAAAAGAGTGCGCGGCGGCCACGGCCATTATACAATTTTGACCGGCTCTTGTAAAGCTGTCGAATACCAACTCTATAGTAAACTCGAATGTTTCTGGAGTTTTTTTTTTCTGACTTATCGCGCTCTTAGGAGTACCTTTATGTGGGGAGTGGGCGGGGTTATGATCCGATTTCATTCATTTTCACACTGTCGATAGGTGTTCTTATAAAACTGGTATTTGAAAGATTTTTATTTTAAAGCTATAAGAGGGCTGGGTCACTATCACTTTTTTTAATTTTAACCCACAGGTGTCACTTGCTACTGTGACCCTTCGTGCTAAACTACAGTTGTCCGTGGCCCTTTTTTCATGTCTCCAAATATTGTTCCAAAATATCCTGTGAAAGACACCCGCGTATTACAGGTTTTGCAAATGCCTTTCGATTTTAACTAAATTCCCAAAAACGCATCCTTTTTATATCCCTTCACTACTTGAACATATGGTATGAGGATATACCTTAAGCATAGCTAACGGATTGTAAACAATTGGTAGTTTCACTCTACAGGGTCGACAGTTACTACACTATATTGTCATCGACCGCTCTTATTCACTATATAATTAGAAATAAAATAAATACAAAGATTGGGATAATTACTGTGAACTAAGTTGCCAAGAAAAAAGTGTCGGAGACTCTATAAAGTATGTGTAGGAATATATATTATATATATGTATGTATGTACTATGTTAATGAGCTGAGTTAATTTAGAAATATTTGTCTATATATATATGTATATATCTCAGTTTTGGGAATATCGATATGGTTTGAGGTATAGCTGAGGATACAAATTGATAGATAAAAATCAAGTCAAGTCAATCTTTACGAAATTTGTCTCCGATTGTCTAAGGCAACGATACAATTTCCAAACAATTCAAACCCGATTAAAATCAAGATCTAATATATTTTGCATATGTATATAGAAATGTAGCTGTGAAGGATATAGTAGCTTCAGTTCTTTATGAACCAAGTAATTATTATTAAGTGTGCTCTGCAATCCACTAAAAGATGACCCCACATCTGCGCCAACTACCGAGGAGTAAGCCTCCTCAACATCGTATAAGGTTCTATATCACGTATTGTATGAAAGATTAAAGCCCTCGGCACCGCCGATATCGGACCACTATGGCATATACTACATAAGTAGCTGCCATAAAAAATTAACAATCGTAATCAAGTACTTGCATGGAAAACTGTTTCATTTGACGGGTAATATCCCCAATATCGACAAGAATCATAGCCTATAGCAATAATGCAATCTCTAAATCGTTCTAATCGTTCAGATAGGATCAGTATAGCATTCCAAACTGAACGATCGGATTCAAGTGCTTGCATGAAAAACTCTTTCATTTAACGAGATGTCTTCACAAAATTAGTAAGGATTATTGTCTAAGGTAATAATACAATCTCCAAAGATAGTTTAGGACTATGCTATAGTAGTGCCATACAAAATGTGTAATCGAAATCAAGTTCTTGGAGGGAATTGTTTTGTATCTGTCAAGGGTATTATTGCTTCGGTGTAGACGAAGTTTACGTTTTTACTTCTTTTAGTTCAGTTGTTTCTTCTTTTAGTAAAGGTTCACAGGATCGGTCGATTTCCTTTAACTGTATTTTGGTAGCAGATGATGTAACACCAACATCTTGATATTTTTTAAGTTTGTTCAGAAATTTCAGGAATATAACGTACTACTAACAACTACGACTGCCCTCCTACATTACCTAATGAACGAAATGCCTTAAAACATCAGCAAATTGCATCCATGAAGCAGCTCTGGTTCAAATAGCAACCATTAAAATTGTTCAACTGTATGATAAAAATCCCATTCGACTTGAATGTGGAGCTACCAGTTACGATAATCCTGAAGTGCGTTAAATTTCGATCATGCTATTTCAATAAAATGAAGACACCTCATTCTTCGTTTGGGTGTAAAGCCAACCTGAACCGTGCTCCGGATGATTAAACCCTTTATCACTTCTTCTTGGAGCGCTATAAAAATCTTAACACGTATTAACCAGAAGATTATAATCTACATTCTGATTTATTTTTAAATAAAATTAAAGCCTTTGGTTTACATTTCTATATATATGTATACTATATGTACAGAGGTGGAAGGTCCTTTTACTAAATGTGTCTTTAATTAGGACTGATTCGGAGGTATAGCAGCGCTATATTATTTTCTTTGGATTAAGATTTACGTACGATGAATTTATGGCGGACACGGAGGCATCCAAGAAGGTCTTACGCAATCCGGACCACCAGCACCACCTGGACCGCCAGGGCCATTACCCCAGCCACCACCACCGCCGCCGCCGCCTCCTCCACCACCTCCACGTTCACAATTGCAACCTCGACCACCACCGCCGCCGCCGCCACCGCCACCGCCTCCTGGCACTGGTACGCCTATATGAAATTGCAACAAATTGTTTATAAATGTTGATTTAGAATTTAATTGGAAATGTTACCCTTAACCAACGCCAACAGAGCGATTAAAACAATTAAAAGTAACTGGATCTTCATTTTCACTTGTTAATTTTGCGTTACCCGGGCTGAAGTGATACGATCTTATATGTAGCGCCCTTTATATACAACCACAGATGAGCATCGGTTTTCATTATGGAAAACACATGAGTTCAAAGCGATCGGGGAATTTTCGTAGGGTTATTCAATTGCGGTAAACGCTCCGAAGCGGTGCAATGTGCTACAATAACGAACACATACATACATACATATGCAAGCAGATTCATACTTGTGGCGATCAATTGACGCTGCGGCACAAGCTGGGCGAGGCAAGCGGAAAACTTATTGTGATAAGACATGTGTGCAATTATCACCTCACTGCTCTTTAGTGTCACTGGAAAATCCAAAACAATCTCGACAATAAACAGCTAAAATTCAAAGTACATACGAATATTCATACGTTGCAATAAAATGAGTTCATGTATTCACAATAGTAGAAATATGTCTAAGTCAACTATTTACGTCGCAAAGGTCGTTGCTGATAAGAAATTAACACTAAATGCAACACTTATTAATTAGCTTAATCTCCGTTGTGCAAATCTAAATGACGCGAATTCTCAGAATGCAATTATGTAATAACTAGGCGCAATTATATTTTAAAACATTTATTAATAAAATATGTACATATAAATGTTGAAACTGGGTCAACGATCTTGTAGTATTTACGCAGAATTATGAACTGAAAACAAAATGCAAAATTTCAACGGAAAAAATATTATATGTAAACACATGATATTAATAAATTGCGACTTCAATGTTTACACAACTTTATAGCCGATGCATATTATTGTGTCGATATACATATGTAAGTTATAAACTTAGAAAACGACCGAAGAAAATTTCAAAAACATTTCGTCGTATTAGCACATTGTTATCTACACAGTGTTAGGCTCTCTCTATCATATTTTTTTTTTTTTAAGTTTTATCCGGATTTTAAGTCAATCTGAAAAATAAATAAGTAATAAATAATAATAAATGCAGTTAAATAAATTTTAAACGTACTTACATACCTACATACATAAGTACATATGTATATGTACATATGTATATGAATATTGTTAAAAATTGTTTATTGTCTTACTACTACTAGTTCTACTAGTTACATACATACATATGTATGTAATATATGTACGGAAAAAGACTTTAATATCTGCTAGTTTTTTAATGTTGAGTTATATTTCGGAATGGGTTTCAAATCTGGAAAAAGTTAGCAATTAATATTTTATGGCAGATATGGGAAGGTAATTTTCGAATTCATTTCAATTGATGCGATGCGTTCTGCCGAAATACCCCATAAATCCATTGGTAAACTATTTTTTTGATCCCAGTATTTAAACATTTAGCCATACTCATCTCATCTCAGTGATTTTTAACATTGAAATCTGCTTTTAAGTGGAACTCAGGAAAAACTTACCTATCAAAACATTATCGAACTTTTTTCATCTTCCTAGTATCAATTTATTTCTTTATTTCAATTATTTTCAAATAAGACAGATTCTTGTCACTATAAACTCTATACTGCAACAGATCGGTTTAAAAAGGGACTGCTCCTAAATCACATAACGATTATTTGTTTTATGTGGTTGTAGTGTAATCCCTTTGAGATACATATGAAGGAAGTAAGAAATCGCTTCTATCATCAACATACTTATTTATCTCAAAAATTACTTTCAAGGGATGCGCTTTGAGCCGATTAAGGTTATGAATGCGATTATGAAGTTTGGTTAATGATTCGGGTCATTTATGCAAATATATGGTAATCGTTAAATAACGTGTATTTAAGTTTGCACAATATATAAATAAATATTTTTTAAATGCACAGGAAACTGTTCCTCTGTTCCAAAAGCAATGAAGATGGCAATAGCGTTTGACTTCTGAAAGGCAATAGCAATAATCGCAGTGTATTCTCTAAAACCACTTGGGAAGGCTGCATAAACTGCTTAGGATCTCCATTTCTGTTATAAATATTTCATTTGCAGAACACACATAAAAAAAAAAACGAAAAACCATAACTTCGGCTGCACTGAACCTAGAAAGCTCAATTAACTGTCTTTGAAAATAATCCCGTAATCTTCAGATATATATATAGTATATATCTTCTACGTGCTATATACATACATATGTCATAGTAAACCGATCTGAACAATATGTTCGGATACTGTTCAGTTGTCTTCGACAATAATTTAGGCCCAATTTCGTAAAGATAACTTGTCGAATAAAAAAGTTTTTCATTTGCACAGCAATTATGTATATGCAACCATATCGTTGGTTGAGTAGTTTCCCGGAGAAAAGGATGTGCTCAAACTTCTGTTATCGCACACATTACATACATATTAATATTGACAGACGGACTAATCATTTATATGCCATATGTATATATCAAACGATCTCCGTAGTTTCCTTTTAGGCTTAACATATCCTTTTTATATATAAAAAATTCAAATATTTTTTGTTGTCTCAAATTGGATTTATTATAATATTTTAAAAATTGTTCAAAACATTGCTACAAACCATCAAAACAATTAACAATATATTAAATTATGTCCATAAAGGCTTTACGTTTTATTTGCCACCGCCGCCGCCACCACCACCGCCTCCGCCGAGCTCAAGGTTGAGACCACCGCCACCACCGCCGCCGCCGCCTCCACCGAGCTCTTCAAAGGTGAGACCACCACCGCCACCGCCGCCGCC